CATCAGGGAAACCTCTTCTCAAACAAAGGACACTTTACCAAAACCAACATGCCTTCCAACCAGGTAGATCATGCGAATCAGCTCTACACCAACTGGTGACAAGAGTAGAGAACTCACTAGAAAACAAGGAAATCGCACTAGTGGCATTCCTTGACATAGAAGGAGCCTTTGACCACACCTCCTTCAACTCCATAGTCAGATGAGCTGCTGGGAAACATGCCATTAATGATACCACATACAGATGGATCAAATCCATGCTAAAACACAGAACTATAAACTCGACTATTGCTGAAACCCCTATTAAAGTAACCGCGAAAAAAGGATGCCCACGGGGCAGAGTACTATCACCATCTTGTGGAATCTAGTCGTGGATGAACTTCTGAGGTAACTAAACGATCAAGGCTACTTCACCCTAGGCTACGCGGATGACATAGTCGTTGCCATTAGGAGAGGATTTGCCAGGACGGTATCAAACCTCATACCGGACGCCTTAGAAATCATTGAGGAATGGTGCACGAGGTAGCAACTCCGCGGGAAAACATGGGGACTAAAACCGTCATTGTATACTGGATATACACTACGGATGTAAGAGCAAGGATAACATATGGTGCACTTGTATGATGGCCTAAAGTAAACCAAAGACAAGCAAACCTAGAGCTAGACAAAATCCAGAGACTTGCATGTCTTTGTATCGCCGGTGCACAGAAAAGCACAACAACGGCAAGTATGGAAACGATCCTTAACCTCCCACCCATTGACTTTCTCGTTAAAACGGAAGTTAGAATCGGGGCATATCGTCTCCAGCTGAACGAAACCTGGAACCCAAAACCAAATGGACATGCGGCAATCACCAAAATAATCACAAACCCGATTTTTACCATGGGTACCGACTTTATGATGCCGAAATAATCCCTGGAAAAACCCATCGCCATCGGAATTGTCCCAGTAGGAAATACCGGGGCAACACCTTAACAAGAAATTGTCTGGTTTACTGACGTTTACTCCCAGATGCGACATCAGTAAACCTCTGGGAGAATACACCGCTGTATTACCAGCAGAAATAATATATGCCATCGAGAGAAAACCTAAGGAGCGGATACACAGGTAAAAACATCCTTATCTGCTCAGACAGTCAAGCGTCGATTGAAGCACTCAACAGCTTTGAAATAAAATCCAAACTTGTCTGGGAATGCTTGAAAAACCTCAAAAACCTAAGTATGGCCAACAAGGTAACCCTTAAATGGGTGCCAGGCTCGTGCCAGGGCATAAAGGAATTGAAGGAAATGAAAAAGCAGATGCTTTGGCAAGAGAAGGATCAGCAACCAGTTATATTGGTCCTGAATCGGCAATTGGCAACACAAAATCTTCGGTAAGAACAAAAATAAACCAATGGGTGTATAGACAACACCAAATTTATTGGCAAACTCTTCCGAAGCTCAGACACAGTAAGCTAATGGTACAGCAACCATCACCTAAAATTACTGAAGAGAGCCTACAACTACACAGGAATCAAACCAGGCTAATAACTAGACACGGTATCCTGAGAAAACACCTTCCCACAATGGGCATCCTCCAAGAAGAACCCATATGCAGATCTCGTGACGAGGAGGATGAAACCGCTACCCACATAATGTTCGAATGTGAGGCTTTTCGCTAGACCCTAGATCCTATCCCTAAACTCACCAAAAGTAACACGGTGAAGTGAAGAGGCTCCTAAACCTAATCAAGGTCACGAAACTTTTCACTGACTAAACAGACGGACAGGACAATATAATAAGCCGACGACTGCAGTGTTGGGGCCACCTAATCTGGCCTGTTCACTCTGCATCTCAACCAACCAACCACCAACCATGGCAAATTATTTTATTAAAATGTCATTCTTTTAATATTAATTGTGATTTTAGTACCTACGATGGCGGAAGATAATTACCCCAATACAAGTTTAATGAATTGTTCCATTTTAAAAAATCATTTTTCTGGCGTTTTTGTAAGTTATCGACAAAAATTAATTTCTAGACCATCCTGTATACTTGAACTGAGCGAAAGATCAAATGCCTGCAGGCCTTGTTCAGGCATAATCCAAATTTTAGCTCAAAATTGTTTTATAGGAGGGAGATATTGAGATATATAAGTCCTGTTTTCGTTAAAAAAAAATTGAAATTAATTTATTCCCGAAAAACGGCGACAGATAGTTGTTATAGGGAAGTATTGGGAAAAGTTGCTCCTAATTATATGCCGATTTAAAAAAAATTAAAATATACAGGGTGTTCTATTTGAAATAGCGTTGCCACTGGTTTAGAGAAGAAGTGGCAACACCGCATGGTCAAAAATATTTTTAAAGTGTAGATTGGTTGTTTATCGTTTATCCCGGTTGCCAAATTTTCAAAATGATCCGGTATTTAGTTCTCCATGAACGTCTAATACACCATCCACCGTGGGACACCCTGCGTATCATACTGCCAAGCGCCTCAATGCAAGATGTCAATATACTGCTGCCGATAGAGGATTTTCAAAATAAAAGTAGTAGTAGTAATTTAATAACTACAGTCAACCAATCGCATAATGATATCCAAGAAGGGAAAGTGGATAATCGCTAATTGGGAAAAAGACCCTAATGTCTCGCAATTTAATAAAGTCTCCATTCCATCCAATTTACGCAGATTTGAAGCATTCAAAGTGACAATTCGTTACATCCATACCAATTTTAGCTTTCAAGCCCATTTCCTCAAAACTAATAATTTGATTTCAATGCAAATAGAATACAAATACTTAATAATCAATTCTGAATACGGGTTTTTCCCAGTAGAAGTCTATAAATATCTTACAAAAAAAAAGTTTTCCTTAAATATCATGTTGTAAGGTAGGTACCGTATACAACTGACTATGTCATTAATAAATTTGCTAGATATGTATCGACACCCGTAACAATAAAGTAAAAATATGTATTTTCTCAGGAACTAATTATATCCTATTTATCTGATATTTAAACTAGCCAGTCCATAAACATCTCCGAACAAAAAACTAGTCCAACACTTGAAATGTTACATTGTGCCTTATACAACTGACTTGTGCCATTAATAAATCCCCATGAAACCGTTCGAGTTTCGGAAAAGTGGGTGATGCATATATCTCTATTGGTAAAACGGACGTGCCCGCGTAAAACGTAAAACAACAATTAGAATTTATATCTCTCTTGTAACTGGTTGGTGTATATGTGTGTAAGGCTATATCGGGTCTGATGCACAGCTGTTCCGCAGCACTCGGCAAAGACAGGGACGATAATGATAATTAAAAAAAAGGCTTCAATGAATGACAGTATGATTTATTTGCAGGAAACGAAACTGCTGATGGGTTTTGTTTTTTTTTCTGCTACACTTGTATTCGCTATTGTCTAAGGTATCTCAGTTGTTATTCTGACTTGGAGGATAATATTGTCAATGAAATAATATCCCCAATAAACAAATAAATTATTTAAATTATTTGAAGAATAGCGTACCTAGTATAAGTATACCTACTTAATTGCATTGTTAGTCAAAACCAGTATTTAACTTCTTGAGCTGACAAAAACTTTTACAAGAAAAAATTACGGAGTATCAGGATGGGCTAGCAAATTCGGTCCTTAAACCACCACTTACCATAGAAGCATTGAAAATAGTCATCATATTATATAATCCATTCCAAAATCATAATCCACAAAACTATATTCACTTAAAAAATATACATATAGTCCTTTCCTTATGGAAAATTTGCAACCGTACTTCTTGAGAGATAACAATTTAACACACTGAAACAATCCATAAGATTCTCCCGAACCATAAACAAATTTTTAAGTGCCGTATAAATGCATAAATATTATAAACACCTTGGTTGTAAACGACACGATATGGCAAAAGAAGCACGCGATATATTAACTAAAACAGACAAACAGAGGTACTACCGTTATAATAGTTGCTCGCCGGCTCGGACTGACTAAAAAGCTAAATTATTTTAAGAACTAATCAAGGTGTAATATGCAAGATACGACGGGATGACTCAAAACGGACAATGCGTAACTTGTTATAATACACTTTGGGAAACTTTCTATTAGCTCTCAAGTTTTTTTCCGGGTTAATTGGGTTTGTAATTAACTTGTGTAATTAGTATTAGAACCAGAGAATGCAGTTAAATTGCCAGAGGAATTATTTCAAGGTTTGTTACTTGCTTTTATTATTAATAAAATAAATATGATGAATCATTCAATCAAGTAGGTATCTAAATAATTTCGTAAGAATCTGATTCACTGTAGCATGAAGTACAGTTTTTCGTTAATGATTCTCAGATTTTTAGTCACAATGCAAATATTGAGTCAGATTTATCTTTGATATGACAAAAACTAATTGACCTCCTGCCACCACAAATATTAAAGTATTTTATGATTTTTAACTTAACTAAATTTTGGTTGTTTTGATAAATGCTCGTATTTTGAAGAAACCGCACTTTCTTTTCCTATCTTCAATTTGTTTGTAAAAGAGAAATGAAACTACTCTTCGGACAAGGGATGAGTGAAGCCAATTTTTCAAACACTCCAGCATGATTTGTATTTAAACTTAATTGGATTATAATAAGTTAAGTGCAAAAATCACATAAATAATTAACAAAATATCAAACTACTAATTCACATTCCAAAAAACAACAATAACAAGTATTTTAACGAGTTACAACACTGGCATTAACATACCATGACCCTTCTCAAAATCATTTACAAATCATTAAAACCAATAAACATATTGCATGAAAGGCCTCCCGGTGTAAACTCTTTGACGTTTTTCTTTATCGAAGTCAGGCGTGTAAAAATTAAAAATAGTCTTCCAAGTCCTCTCTGACTATAAATAGCCATCTTTAGTGGCTCTTACGTTGTGAGCTTTTCACTTTCTCGAGTCGTTACAAAACGATTAATCTCAACATATTATGAAGTTTGTAATTATTAAAAAATAACACTATTATTAATCTCAAATTCTTACCTGACTCTCATAATCACATCCAGCCACATCCTGCTGCTCGACAGCTCCAGCCTCAAGCAGCAGTCTCAAAACTTTCTGGTCCGTAGGCAAGAAGGCTCCAAAATTTACTCCAGCCATTTCGTTGCCCTCCAACAAACATTCTTCCACGTTGCAGCCGCTGTTAATCAACCATAACACTGTTAGAGTATGCAAATCCAATATGTGGTGTTGGCCAGTTTTGTTGGTGAGGGCACCGTCCAGCATTGTGCAAGAAGTTGTGGTATTGTTCAGCGAAGAAGCTGTGTTTGAGTAGTCAGTAACTAAAAGATTGTTTTCACAGCTGGTGGTCATCAAGGGAGCTGAGGGTTCGATGTTTTTGTAGATCTGGTAAAAAAAGGATTGTGAAGAGTATTTTATAAGTTTATATTCTTCAAATTTTGTATATTAAATTCAAGGATTTGTATCGTAAAAATATCGTCTAAATTTGAACAAATATCTACCACAAACTACAACGGGATATAGAAAAATTAATAATAAAATAATTAAAATAGCTTTGAACAAAGACAAAAAAAAAACAAGGAAACCATTATAGTTATAGAAAGAGTCGTAGGAGGAAATAAAAGCATAAAATGCCAAAAAGCAAGACTCAGAACAGAACAAATGGACAAGAACGAGACTTCAGCTGTAGAAAGCTTCCATTGTGATATTATTCAGTTCAATCCTATGAAGCTGCTACTGTCTAATCTTGAAAAGCAGCCAAAATTAGCTCAAATACTCACGCACAAAATATCTGCAAAGGTAGCAGTGCTGAGCGGCTGAAAAGCCGAAACGACTCCCCCGAAATCTAGCTCAAATACCACAGCACCCAGCCTATATCCAGAGTGTGAAGCTGCACTCTATACACACCACCCTTCACAGTTGTCACCTCTAGCAGGGCACTGTGAATATACCTAGTGACAGCAACGTAACCTTAGTCAAAAGGGCCTTATTGTCAAAAGGTTATTGAGAGGTTATTCCCATATCAAAAGGAAATCCTTTTCATGGTCCTTCGAGCAAAAAGTTGAACAGAAGAAAAGAATAACTCCCTTGAAAAAAGGGAGTTATAGTGAAATTATCAGCAAGCGGTTCAATCAGTCACCGACAACAACAGCCCAATCAAGGACACACCGACGGATCACGTGCACCAACCACCCCCGTCCATCCTCAACTTCAACGTCAATCCAACTTCATCTCCCATAATTCACAGCGAGCCGGCAAATCGTCACCGTTAGTGGATCGAGTCAACCAATCGGTCAAGTGCATCAGTCACCGCCGTCCAAAAACAAGTAAACTTCAACTCCAGCCTCAAGTCTCACCTTCAGCCTCAAATCTCAACTCTAACAAGCAGACAATCTGTCACCATCAGTAGATCGACACAACCGTTCCACGAAACAACTGCACCAGGTGACAGCCCACAACAGATACAGAAGTTCGTAAAAAAAATAACTCCACGTAATTTCAGCGCACCTACCATAGGCGAAGAAATGGACCGCCTTGCGCTGGAACAGCAACAACACGGGCGAGACATGCAACGTATGCTGACAAATATGAAGAAAGATTCATCAAGCCGAAAAACAATCCAATACTTCGAGGAAAAAACCAAATCGGTGGAATCATTATGGACCACAATCCATGAGAATCGCAAGAAGATCAACGAATTGAGTTGCCCCACCCACAATTACCACACTACATGGTACAACTCAAAGAGGTCTATACTGACACAGTAGACTACATAGAAGACGGTATAAAAAAAGTCGAAGCCCAAACAAAACAAAACGAGATGACATCAAAACTTACAGCACTGGTAAACCAGTTGGAAGAAGTCCTAAACGACACTGTTGCAGAAATGGATGATCACACCCCAATCAACCACCGTCAGCAGCTCCAATGCAAGATAACCGAGAAATTCAAGCAGATTTCGGACCTCCACCTACAACTCGAAATCCAATGGGTCCATAAACCGTACAAGCCCGCATACAAGGCACTTGAGAAACAACACGAGCAGATACTGCTACAGCTACAACTAAATGAATATATCACAGGAATCTATCTATAAGCAATCATCCAGCCACACCGGCATCGCCGCAAGTCATGCCTACTGTCATCATCCAACAGCCAAGGTCAAACAACATATCGCTTCCTCAAGTGAAACTGCTAATGTTCGATGGATTCTATGAAGAATGGTCCACTTTCAGGGACATTTTCACGAAAGTTGTTCATAAGAATGGTGACCTCACCGAAATCAAAAAAATAAAATAACTGAAGACCCACGTAAAAGGTGAAGCAAGTAGAGTCATTCAACATCTACAGATAAACAGTGACAACTACATTGCAAGCTGGAACATTCTCGTGAGAAGATAGTACAACGAGAGACCAATCATCAACAAGCTGATTGATAAGATCTTGGAAACACCATCAATCACTCACGAATCAGCGTACAAGCTGAAGCAACTGCATGACACAATGATAGAATGTGTAGAAGCGCTCAACAACATAAAGGTAGACACCAAATCTTGGGGACCACTAATTTCAAGACTAATATGCTGCAAATGGGATTCCGAAACAAATCGATTATTCGAGCAATCCTTGCGAGAGCCAAACAAAATGCATCAGCTAGACGACGTACTCAAGTTTCTGCAAACAAAGATTTCAATCCCTTGCAGCCTGCGTACAAGGTGAAAAAAAGTCCAGCGAGCAAACCCACAGCACAATTGAAAGCTGCGGATACTGCAAGGAGCCTAACAACAGCATCTACAATTGTCAGAAATCTCAAGCAATAATTCCATCTGCAAGATTTAGTGATCAAGAAAAAAAAGATCTGCATAAACTGTCTGAGACACCCAGCGCACATAAGATGTAATTCAACCGTCGTATGTCACACCTGCAAGAAATTCCACCATACAATGGTACATGTAGACTTTACCGAACAGAGAAACCAGAACGGAGCCAGAAGCTTCCAGCAACCAAACAACAGAAACGGCCAACCAAATCAGCAACCTCGTAGAGACACAAGGCAGTTCTCAACCAATCACCTTGGGAGACACAACGAATTGGTCCTGTTGGCAACAGCAGTCATCAAAGTCCACAATAACCAAGGGATAGTTGAGCATTTACGTGTGTTAATAGATCCAGGCTCTCAATCCACATCCATAACTGAAGAAGCTGCTTCATTCCTATCCATACCACGTCAACGCATAAGAGCCGACGTATCCGGACTCGGAAGCGCAGAACCTCAAGTGGCAAAATGAATGGTAGAAATAAACGTCAAGCCAAGATTCCCCAGCAGTTTCTCAATGGAAATTCCATGTATTGTTCTACCCAAACTGACAAAAACGCTACCAGGTGAAGAAATCGCTGTAAACATCGACCAATGGAAAAACGATGTACTTGCTGACCCCACGTTCTACCGACCAGGGCCAATCGACATCATATTGGGGGCAAAAGAATATGGAGAAATAATTCGAACGGGCATTCGAAAAACAAAAGATGGACTACTCGGACAGCACACCGAATTTGGATGTATTCTATCCGGAAACATTCCACGACATTAGAGAAAAAATATGCAAGTTATCAGTATAATAACGTGCATTTAGGAAGATCGGAACTAGAATAAGTAACCCAAAGCATTCAACGATAAACTACAACAACTAGGGATCTCAAGATCACGTGCAGCCGCACGACTACTGCAGCTGGAGAAACGATTTTCAAAAGATCCTCAACGTGAATAAAAATACACTCAATCATGGAAGAATACATGAAACTCAATCATATGAGAACATGCCTGCAACTAAACAGTAGCCCATACTACATTGCTCACCAGCCTGTAATAGAAGAATCCAGCACGATAACAAAATTGAAGGTAGTATTTGATGCTTCAAGCAAAACTTCAAGTGGAATCAGTCCTAATGATGCAATGTACTCTGGACCGAAACTTCAGCAGGAATTGCCAGACATATTACTTCGTTGGAAAACACATACAATTAATTGTATTGGCAGCAGATGTCGAGAAAATGTATCAGCAAATTAAAATTCACCCAGACGACCAAAAATATCAAATAATTCTATGGAGATTCGGACCAAGTGAAGCGATACAAGAATACACGCTAACGACAGTCACATATGAAACCACCTCAGCCCCATACTTGGCCATTAGAACGTTACAGCAACTGGCAGAAGATGAGGAAGACAATTTCCCACTAGCATCTAGAGTTACTTAGCAGGATTTTTACGTCGACGATCTGCTCTCCGAGGCAGATACGCTCGAAGAAGCCATCAATCTTCAGACAGAACTCATAGGCATGTTCAAAGCTGGAGGATTCATCCTATGCAAATGCTCCAGCAACCATATACAAATCCTTAAGTCTCTTGATGAAGAACTGCGAGAACAATCCTTACAAGAAATTACTGAAGACGGCACACGAGAATCCTTGGGAATCCATTGGGCACGATATGATGACACTTTCAGATTCAAAACGCAAGTCAACATGGAACAGAAAGTCACCAAGCGAATAATTCTCTCCGAAGTTGCGATTATGTTCGATCCGTTAGGATGGTTTGCTCCAGTAGTAATAAAGGCAAAGCTCTTATAGTAGAAGATCCGAATAGGAAAGGATCTGCACCCATCTGTTTATTGGGTGAAAATTATTTTATATCAAAGCTAGTATGTTAAAAAATATATCAGGTGTGGGTTGGCTAAAAAATTCCTGGCCAGACTATTATCAATAAATAATTCAAAAATTATAATTGTCAAAGGCATTGCACTCATTTGTTTAACGAACAAATTTCATACTAATCGAAAGTATAGGGCCTAAAGAATATAGAAACGTTGGGGTGTTTATTTTTTTCCTGACATAACTATTGGGTTGACAGGTTTGAACAGGTGAGTCGATACTAGTAATTTACACCCATTTGTTTAATGTATAAATCATACACCACTCTGTCGCATATTTCCATCCGCACCAAAATTTCGCTTTTCAAAGCTCGCCAACCGTCATTCAGGCCAGATTTTTCGCCGACAACTCTATATCATCGTGTTCGCAATAAAATTACCTTTTTTTTTTATGTAAGATTTATTCATTAAACAGATGGGTGTGAATTACTAGTATCGACTCACCTGTTCAAACCTGCCAACCCGATAGTTATGCCAGGAAAAAAATAGACAATCCAACGTTTTTATATTCTTTATGTCATACCAATACATTATTGTGTTTTTATACCTTAGATACCATCTACATAATTCACTACTATATGCCCGTGCGGGCATAAAGTACACATTATGGCCCGTGCGGGCATAAAGACGCAAAAAACAGTTTTCAATTAACTTATTCTTTATTAACAAAATATAA